TTTTTTTTATTCGATTGGCTCACAAAAAACATTACACTAATGATTTCTACACTCTTTCGAATGTTGTAATTCTTTATCAGGTTTGCTTCCACAAAAAACCTTTTCACGATTTCTGTTTTCGATCGCTGATTTACAGTGCTTTCAGAAATGCATCGTCTTGGTATTTCGTTTTTGCTGTTTCTGTCTCGTATCATAATTGCGTTTCAAGTTGTTCCACATAACTTCTGCTTGCTCAACAGTTTCGGTTGGTTGAAAAAGAATTCTTCTGCTTAAAAAAGCCGATCGATTTTTCCTAAATGCGTGATCCAATATTTTAGTTGAAATATCATTAAATTTTGCTCCGGCTTTGGTTGCCAACACTCCAGTCATAAAATAGTCATCAATCTGAAAAATATTTCTTGAGATTACCTATAAACGGTAGTTCTAATTCGCGTAGTTCATACACATTTCTTTTGCTTACTTTATAATACGGGGCATTTTTAGAAGCTTTAAACATATTGCTTATTAATTGACTAGGAATAATCACTGCTACACCAGAACAATAGTCGTTGTAATAGTCATTTGGAAATTCTATTCTGCTAGCATACCTAAAAGAAACAAAAATACTTAAGTATGTTAACATTAAGCTATTAATCAAATAACAAAAACACAAAAAATCAAAAAGTAACTTTCTATTTAATTATTTATACACTGGTAACGTTTAAATGAAAGACAATTCAAGTTGTTCAATGCAAAACGTTGCCACTTTTAGTGTCTGCAAAAATTTGAAATTTTACTGGCGTTTTGTTACTATGAAACTCTACCGATACATAGGCTCACCATTTACTTTTTGGGTTACGATTTACCCTTGCGTGATGTACAACGTAACAAAATACTGTGCGTTCCAACTCTTCCCTCGGCTTTCCAATCTCGGAGTAAATCGACAGAGTCCCTATTACCTTCCAAAGATTCATTATTATATCATCGTTAGTAATGAGAATGTATTTCACGTTATAGCAGTACTCGTTTACAAATCGTACCGCCATAATTCCCTGAGAAGATGATTTTACAGTATTCGCAAGCTCTGTTACAGATAAATTTTAATTTTTGTCGTTGTTTGAAAGTTATATTTATTTTTCCAGAAAATTAATTTTTACAGTTTTCAGGAATTACCAAGTTTTGCTCAACTCAATCAAAAGGTTGTATAGTAAACAGCGTAATAGTAAAGTAAAAAAGTAGTATAGAAAGTGTAAGATTTTATTTATAATCGATGTTAAGCAATAAATAATTGTATCTTTTTTGCTAAACGTATTCTAGTCTTACTTTCCAAGTCAGATTATAGTACGTATCGTGAAAGTTTTGTCGAATAATGTCATGGTAGCGCAAAGATTCCTTCTTCACTAATTCATCGAATGACTTATCCTCAGAGGCCCCAAGAGTGAAAAGAAGACGAACGCCCAGCTGAAATTGTCTCGTTTTAAAAGCCAGCAGAAGTATTCACTCAATATTTAGTTAAACATTTATCTTAACAAGTTGAAACTTGTTTTCCAAAAACGTCAGATTAATTTGTTATATTTTCGCTGTTTTAAGCTAGTAACTACATTGTCACTTATCTCAAATCTTTTGGCCATTCTTAATCCACTTTGGCTTTAAGCACAATGTTTATTACTTATAGTAATCTTCAAAATAATTAAATTCTAGTAAAGTTCAGCATTTTACTGAAATTCTAGTAATTTTCACTCGGAAGACGTGTTAGTGTAGCTAGCTCGGCTAAAATAAGATGAGTGAAACTCAATTTTTGTTAAGCATAAGGAGCTCTTGTGTCGCCTACGCTGAATCACCGCTGTAAATCTTCTCATTAATTATTTCGAAGAAAGAGAATCACTTACACTCTAAGAAATCTTTGCGTAAACTCAGTAAATGATAGCTGAACGTAAATTAAAGAGCTAGTTCTACTGCACCTTTCAGTTATTAATTCTACAAAAATAAGTTAAAAATTAACATTATTTTTTACTTTTTGAAAATAAAGGTCTCCGTACATA